TCTTAGGGGAGTGGGAATCCACTTGGGGGGGGGGGGTGAGACATATTAGAGATCACTTTCTTTGGAGTGTAATCCATTCCGAATTCTGTTGAAATCCACTCATAAATAATGGTTGAATTAACTGTTAAATTCTACTGATTTTGAGAGTGATTTTTCCAATCAAACCATAATGATCACTGATATATGACTCCCAAAAAGTGAATTACCTTTTTCTTTATATTTAGAGAGTATTTCAAAATGTTTATAGCTTTCAGAATTCGGCTAGACATCCTAACCTGTGCACTGTCTGAGTGTCGGCCCTTTTCAACTTTTCAATTTTCTTCTGTAGATTCTTGAAGAAGTTTAAGCAGCCCCAAATTGACCAGAAGAGATGGGAAACACTCGGCAGGGGGTCTGTCGACCCACCATCAACAACAGGAAGCTCAAAAATATACCGCGCCATCTTAACTTCTCATCTCGCAGGTAATAATACGTGTGCGTACAGGTAAAAATGTGGGTGTGTTTAGAACTCGTGTAATTGAGTTGTCTGTGAATGGAAAAATGAATGAATCAGGAACGTAATGTGACTAACCGTACAGACAGCATAGTTGGAATTTGGAAGAGTACTACGAACGCATTTTAGACATGCACAATCATTCACTTGTTCGTTAACAATGGGAATTTCTGAATATCAATAATGAACTACTGTATGTACTTATAATTACACATGTAAGAGCAATTGTACAACAAAATCAATACCTGAAAGATTTATGATATGGAAATATTCCTTATAATTTCGATGTTTGGCTGTCTATCTATCATTACAAGAAAGATAAGGTAGTTCATTCATTAAATGTTTCATCAATTCAAGATTATTAGACTTTTACTGATAAAGCAAATTGTGTGATAGAGAACTGCAATTGTCAAAAAAGGTAATGTAACAACTGATACAAAACACACCTTTATGATAAAAACCTAACTCCTCTTTTCATTGATGGATGATAGGAACAATTATGATAACATGCAGGTAGACCTTATCAAGTTGATTTTAAACATGTATTTTCTACATATTAAAAGCCAATAAAGTATTTAAACATAAGGAAGAAGAATTTGAAATCTAATAAAAAAGGGGAAAAGTTCATTGACATTCCTATCGGAAGAACAGTACCTCTGACTATACTTTCGTTTTGCTGAGATGTGGTTACAACTTTAATTTAGAAAATCAAGACATGTTATTTCCTTCAAGTTTAAGGAAATAACATGTCTTGATGTTCTCAAAATGTAACGCCCAATGTCAGCTTCTCGAAATTGTCATCTCACAATCAATTTTTCCAACTTGCCAGGAAAAGAAATGTCCCCTGTTTTAGGAATACATGACTTTATTTTGTTGATTATTGTCTATTATTGGTTAATGGTAATCTGCTGCATAAAATGTAACATAGAAATAAAACATGTTCAGTTTGTAAATCTCTCGGCATATCATGGGTTAATCATAGAAGCCAATATCGAATTCAATAGTTGGTTACTTGTCGTGAAAAATTAAAAATAAACACCTTATTGTTTCGTTGTATTCTTTCCTTTTAACATCGTAAGCAAGTCTTTGAGTTTATTTGGAAGTCTTGCCTCTTTTTGTAATGTCTGAAAAGGTTGAGGCATATACGACAGAAGTTGAGAACAGCGGGACGCTAATGAGAAAAGGAACATCTCATGAGGAACTCACCAAGACGTTACAAGCGTTACACCCCGCCACACCTGTGTGACCGGCTATACCAGCCCGAACACCCACCGTCTGTCACGTTAATAAATGACTTACCAACCTAATTGCATGACCGGGTATTACCGCTGGGAACTGCTCGGCAAGGGGGCTAGGGTACTATGATTTGAATGTATATTTAGATGTTTTAGATACGCGAGGGATACGTAAACTTGAAGAGATCAAATGTTTTGTCTACTTTAGCCTATATATGACCTACAAAGAAATAGGTGGGCTCGAATTAATGTTAACTTATAACATTCCATGTTCGGTACAACTAGCCCTCCCCCTCCACCAGACATACATACACACCCTTTCCCTATCTCTCTCTCTCTCTCTCTCTCTCTCTCTCTCTAATATTGCCTCTTTTTCTTTCTCTCTCGTTCTATCTACGTATTATCTGTCTCACTCATTCCCTCTAACTCTGAATATCTCTTCATCCTCCTCTCTATCCCGGTCATTCTCTCTTTCTATCAGTTCTTCTCCTTCCCTTTCTCCCCTACTCTCTTCCTCATTGTTTTTTCTATAGGGCTTTTGCTCTATCTAATATTCTCCTCATGTTCTTTGCTCTTACACTCTCCACAAACGTCCCTTTGTCACATCCTCCGTGACCTCATAAACTAAGCTATTACCATGTCTATTGTACTCTTTCCTTACTCTCAAATTATGGTGTGCTTCTCAAGTTTTTCCTGAATTTATGGTATTGAAATAACAAAACGATATATTCAAGATTATAGTTAAAAACCTTCTGGCTCTCAACAGCATGAAAAACCGGCTGTAATGATCGTTTAGGCAAAGTATTCTTTGCCCACCTTGTTTCAGCATCGAAAGCGCATTTTCAAATGAAATTCAAATTTACAAACTTTAAAGCTCAAGTTGACCCAGTAGCATTATTGTACATAGAAAATATCAAATAACTGGGAACCCTCTCCTTGTCAATTTCGAAAAAGAGGGACGGAAAACTAGGAATCAATTTTACTTCGCTTTTACCCTTGTTATTCTTTCACAATTCTTCGGCCACCGTATGCATAATATTAGCATAAAACCTGTTCTAAATCCTAAAACGCTTTTTCTTTTCTTTTTCTAACGATGCATCTCTCGAAAAACAAAAAGAATCCAAAGTCAAAGTATATTTGATTTTTAAGGAATGCACCTTTTTATTATTTATATCTGTACATCACACGACAGTGTGCGAGTTATTTGACTTCACAAGACTATTTACACTGATTTTTACATGCCTTCAAACATAGATCAATATACAATGCGAGTATAAGGTGGGCATAAACATATCTTTCCTTTTTTAAACAATTCGCATCATCTTTCATATAAATTAAGTCGACTTTCCATAAACATTTAATTGTTCTTCAGTTCCAGAATATTTGTTCATTGTTACACATTGCCATCATATGACATATTTTCTAGACGAGAAATAATTGGTGAGTATTATTACCTTGATTTAACTGTTATTACATCTGTAAGAATGGTTAGAAACAATATTTTTACTCTAATTTCAAAAAAAGTATTCAACACGACGCTTCGCGCCAAAAATTTGTTTAAAAAATATTTTCTGATTAAAAAAACTTCACGAGTCACAGCAACATAATTTCAAGTTCATGAGAAAAATTGTTGTTAATGAGGAGAAAATGTTGCTATAAAGTTGTACAAAGTTTTCAACATTTTAGAGTCAAAATGCATATTCAAACTTGGTGGTATTTATAATTAATCGAGTGGTTTGCAATAGATCTGTAACATTTATAAGATGAAAAAAGTTTTTTCTGGTTCAAAATAGATATTACACAGGATGGTTTGCGCCAAAAAATTAAACAACAAAATACTTTCTGATTAAAGAAATTTCACTAGTCGAAATATTTAAATGCATATTCAAAGTTGGTGGTATTTATTATCAATCGAGTGCAATAGAAACATGGAAGAATCATTTCATTCTTATAAGGCAAAAGTTTACTTGTAGACGGTGGGAATTAGAACGATTCGATGGTTACATAATAAAGACATCAACATACTACTCGAAGCGTTTTTCAGGTTGAAAAATGATGATAGATAACCACAATTGTACAGAAACTCTTTGTTTAGATCATAATGTTTTTGCATACATTTCAATCAGTCTTCTGGAAGATTGCTGTCCAATTGCATATGCCATAGAAATGTTAGAAACATTAGCATAACTAAGCCTGCATGACACGGTACACAAATCTATTTGAATACTGTTATTTACAATGTATCAGTAGACTAAATTCATTGTATGAACTGAATAAAATTTCTGCTTTGTAGTGTTTTCACAATCTAATTCTATATCACGCACAGAAATTAGACTTTAAAAGAAAATAGATTCGAGATTAGTTACAATTTCTCAAAATGTTCATGTCTTACAATGAAGGCAATCGTAGAAATCATCAAAAAGTGTACATTTCTTCATTTTCTCAAATTTATCTGGCGGAATCGTCAAAATCTATGTAAAATGTATTCCACATGTCAAGACAGTCACAATAGAACGTCAACAATTTTAAGACATCATACAAGACAAGACGATACAACAATTAAAAGTAGTTTGATGATTTTTTAAAAAATCTTCAACCCATGAAGTTGCACTTGTATATATACGTAATAAGGCTGATACGGCGTGTACTAGTAGGTGGGAAACTTGGAGAAAATTTGCATGAAAACAATCAATTGTTTAACTTTTGTATATTTATATTTGAAGGTAATCTTGAGTTCTGATAATGACGAGGAATAAAATGTCACAGATTCAAAACAAATTTTACTTCCTGTTTACTACTACGAAGTAATAAAAAATGCCAATCGACTTTGGTGGAAAATGCTAGATAGCTGAGTATCATTTTTTTAACACTGTTAAACAGGTGGTATTGTGCTAGCCATCCTATGTGTCAAGCAATATTACAAACTTTGTTTCAGTGAATGTGATTTCAGTTAGTTTGCTCACATTTTGCTGAAATAAACCACTGATCATACTGCATTATTAACTACCACTTTTACAATCATTATCATTATTATATCTTTACCAGAAGTCAAGATTAGCTTTAAATAAGGTATGAACGCTTTTTAGACAATCGACGCAAACATACCAAAATCAATTTTGAAAAAATTAAATATTTGACAAACCATGGAAGGTAAAATTGCTAAAGCAAACGCATGATTCAGTATTTATCTTAGAAAAAGATAACTCCATGGAAACCAGGTATACACACTCAACAACAACAAAATGTGGAGTCTATTCATAGTTAAGATTTGAACAATAAAGAGATTCCACTTTTATTGTTGTTGAGTGTATTTCTGGCTTGATTCGTTTAGTTTAACTTAAAAATGTCGTCAAGCCCGAATTACAAACAATTTATTGTTGCCATGGTCACAAATCTACTTTTCATATGAATATGAAAATACTTATTATCGAAAATCACTACAAACCCTGGCTTTTTTCAAACATGCTTTAGAAGTCCAAACCCGACATGGATGAGTTGTATTTAATGACATGACTTTCGAAAGTCACTTTTGAGGTATCAAAGTTTAATTTTTTAAATAATTTAAGGCGAATAATAAATTTATCTATATGATTGAGTCTTTCGAGTTAAATGTAAAATGAAGAAGGCAATAAATAAGTCAAAATATCTTTGTATGACAGTCAACATAGTTAAGGAAACACTTTGTTGTAACGAAAGAGAGAAAGGTAAGAGGAAGGATAAATGAGGGAGGAAGAGATAGAGGAGGGGGGGGGGGACAAAAAGGAGACAAAGAGAGAGAGAGAGAGAGAAAGAGAGGGAGACAGGGAGATACACAGGAAGGAAAGGAGACTGGCAAATAATAACAGAGTGCCAATTAAATGGCAATAGGTATTATGAAATGTATCACAATGATACCGTTACCGTTTTGTTACAATTTTATGAAGAGAGAATCGATAATATCGATCGGAGACAAATTTTCCATTGAGTCAATGCTATATATATATAATAGTATTTTGGCAAAAAGTTGTAAATGTCCAGATTTTTGACTCGTCAGCTAACCCTAGGTCACGGGTATGACGATCCTGAGTGGGGTGCCCGACCTAGCCCTGCAGAATGGGTCAAGAGTGTCGACCCTACACTCGGACCATGGTTATTGGCTCCCGACCCTACCGGGGATGGCTCATTACTTGGCGGGGTCGGCATCCCTCCCGCACTTTGGCAGACGTACCATTCACTCAAGTTCGTTCCCGCGTTCGTCGCCAGGCTCGACGCCGTGATCGAGCCACCGCCGCTGCCTGCACCAGCTCCCGCTCCTCCCGGGATCCCACCGCTGCCACCACCTCCGACAGCCTGGCTGTTATGCTCCGACGAACCCGCCGGAGAGGGCTCGCTACTGCTGTCGTTGGCTTCTTCAAAGGGTGGCGGCGGTGACTTGCTGTGCACCTTCATGTGTTTGCGTAAGGAGCTCGGATGTGTGTAGCTCTTGTCGCATCCCCTGACTCGGCAGTTGTAGGGCTTGTCCGAGGTGTGCACGTGAGAATGTTTCTTACGGTCGCTGGAGTTGGCAAAACGACGATCACATCCCTCGAACTCACACTTGAAGGGTTTCTCACCTGCATAGGCGGAGAAGAACAAAGCAAAGAAGCACAGAAATATTAAAATGTAATCGACCAGGAGTTTCATCGGATAGGATCCTAACCACAATGGCCGTTTTGTTAGAAGGGTGTGATATATTTGGCCCATAGGGTCATTCGTTAATCAGACGATTTAAAAGTGGGAGATATGCCCATACTGGATCAAATGATCAGAGATATTGCATGAACATATTGAAAGGTTTGAATTTTTAAAGTTAGCTTTAGACTCTACAGATTAATATGTAAATGCAGTGATTGTAAGAACATTATTGAGCGAAATGTTAAATCGACATACGCCCCCAACAATGAATTTCAATGACTGAACTCAGCATCATTAAGATATGGTTTTCAATACAAATTCAAAAAGATGAATACGTGAAGAAATCCCACACGCAAGAGCAAATCTGAGTCACATTCTTAAAAGACGAGATGCTGATTAAACATACTCATGATCAGGGAACAAGTTGACACGCCCAAGATTGCATTCACAACTCGTTTTAATGGTTTTTTTCATGTTTGTTTTATAGATTAAATTTGCTTTTCGTATTTGTGAACAAAAGTCTTTGAAATCACCCTCATTATTGATAGATTATTCTTAGTTTGTCTTAAAATCATGATTTTGTACATGTATGTATTACCTAAAAATTCATTTTTCTATAATTTCGATCTTTGATCATATGGGCCAACAGGGCCATTGTGGAAAACAGTTTCATAACTTACAATGCTACCCTGTAAAACAAAATCAAACACAAAATCAAATTAAATTAAATTCAACAAATTACTAAATAAATGAATAATTTATTGAAACATGGCACAATCTTTCTGGTCTCTTTTGCTTATGAAAAAGGAGAAATGTGCATCAAACCCCACCAGAGTAATTTAAGTTTCACGACCTATAGTTTCCGGAAACCAGAGGTGTCTCCTATGAGTTCCTGTATCGTTCACGCCATGAACACGAAGTGCTATAAATATTTCACTCGAAACGTCATTTGTTTCTGCGGTGACGATATGCTCTGAAGTTCCTTAATCCGAGTAAAACGCCAAAAACAGAGGGGAAGTTTGTCAGGATTGATACGGTCAGCTGGCATTTCTTTTACACGGGAAATTGGGATTTGGTGAAGCTTAGGTTATTGATAGATTTGTGGCGAATGGTAGTTTTTTTTATCAGGATTGAATGGAAAAGCAGGAGTAGAAGGTAAGGTACAGCTTCTGCTTCGTCATAAGGAATTGATTCAGCATCTTGAGATGGTGTAGTAATATTCTGATTAAAAATGTATCACATTAGAACCCCCGTAATTTTCAAAGTTCTTTACATTAAAGGTACAATGTCCCATTTGCAGGCCCAAAAAATGAAAAAGTTAATTTCCAACTGCATTTGAAAGATAATACTAATTTAGAACTTCCCTAAAAAATGTGGGGCTTGAAAATGTCTTCAAGTGGGAAAATAACAACTATTAGTTGTCAAATCGACTGTAGGGCTATAGAGCCCAAAGGTAATAGTCTTGATTTTCAGAAAATTGTACCGAATGGTCATACGTTTTATGCTGCGCAAAGATTCAATCAGTTTAATCTTGGCCATCACAAGAAGTGGGTTATTGATGTAGACAAATGCTCATGTACCCTTTACAACTCTTTTCATGTATGTTATTACCAAAGAAGAAAAAAAGCCAGTCAGTCACTCAATAGTGTCTGACAGTGAAGTCTAGCAAGTTAACAGGTTTCCTTGCATCATTTGAAAATGAGGACATTGCTAACGTTTAAATTTCACAGATAGGACATACATGACATATTCGTAATTCCTGCAAAGTTCTACAGAATTTGATGTTAGCTACAAAAGGGACATAGTACCTTTAACAAAAAAATAAATGGATGTTGATATAAATGACAATGATGGTAAGATATTTAGTGTAAACGGGGGAAAAGGCAAAATTATTTTCTATGAGTATGATGATAATGGTGATATTATAGACAAGACTTATAACTCTTTTCGATTGCAAAAGTGCTTTTCTTTCACGAGCACTCTATTTGTACAATATGTTCCAGAGTTCTTTTACAGCTTTCCGTGGTTAAATCGCCTACCGCGTTCCCACGTGTTCTTATTTCTTCGATTGTATGATCAAAATATGATGAGGATTATGATGGTTATGACAGTAAATGAAGATAAAGTTTGCACAGTAAAATGTAAAATGGCGAGCAGATAAAACGGAAATGCTCGCTCAGGACCGTCCTTATGCCATCACGCACACCAACGCCACGCACACTACCGTCAAAAAGACTCCTCACCCTATTACGTAACATTCAAACTGTTTGTGAATGACATATTGATTAGGACACAACTCAAGTATCATCGATATCACTCCAAAATATGAATGTGGGTCGGACTTCAGCTAATTGGTTACAATTGGCGTCCAAACTACTCAGTGAGTGCCTATACAAAGAAGTAAACATGTTTACTCCTATTGAGTTTAATCATGGAGTTTGGCTTGTTCAATCGCTGTTTGGAGTATGTACTTTAAACACTTCACGGCGTCATGTAGATTTAAAGCTCATTATCAGCCATTGAGTTCATTAATAAGGCTGTTTCTTAGAGCAGTATGATAATCCCCGATCCAGACAAGTATTAAACTTTTTCCTCTATACTGAGCATGCTCAGTGATGGGACACTTTAAGTGTTGATATCAAATTCTGGTATTTTAATTATTTTGCTGAACTAACGGAATGTATAATGTAATAGACATACTTAAAGTATTATCCTGTTAATCATTGTGTTTAGATACAAAGTTATATGCTTAACTGTCTTGGCAGTAGAATTGAACAGATTCAAGATAATTTATTGTCATGTATAAAATACTTTTGACATTTGAAGGTGCATAAAAGTAAATAAATATATATTCCATTTACATGTATCTCAAGATTAATCTACTGTATAAACACACAGTCGTGATGACAAATGATCATTTTCTTTCAAAGAATAGGAATATTTTCGACGTGAATCAGAAAAGACCTTAATTGCGCATCACTAGAGGTCACAAAATATTTTGAGCGGTCGAATATTTTTCACCTAAACTTCTCCTCAAGCCGCTAAGCATAGTGTCCGCGTGGTTCTTGGTATGGGATGCCTGCAAAGCCTCTCTCTATTTCTCAAAGTTATTTCAGAAAAAGTAAACATCGACCTGGCATCACTGAGACTTTTCATAGCTCATGGATATCAGACACAGGATAAGGATAAGACGAACAAAATATGAGGAGAAGAAAAAAAGTTTGAGAACGAGACGCGATATTAGTTGATACCCTGAAATAACAAATGTCCCCTGGGAGAGCTGGGCCCGGCGTGAGATCGTGAACCCGCTCATATACCAGCGGGTATCTACAAACCAAAATGGCTACCGTTATGAGGCATGGTGTTATTTTTTTCCTACGGTTCTAACGTGTCAAATTGACTTCTGATCCTACAGTCTGACTCATAAAACATACATACCACTCCGCTAGAGTGACTCACTGGCTTTCTTTTCTTTTATCAAATACGGGGGTATTATTGTCTATCGAGTCGTTATGCCCCACTTTATATGTATGTTTATCTTCGAATCGTCACTTTAACAAAAGTTTGATAGGCTGTAAATAATCCCAAAATACTTATAACTGTGTCAATCCGTTCTCTATTTCTATTTTACTCGTCATAGATTTTAGGTTTGGTCAATCACATTTCAGAGAAAGTATACAGAATAATAAGTATTTTTAGTACGTTTGCAGGAGCATAATAATAATGATGTTATCATGATACGGATAAATTACCTTTTTACCTACTTTAATGATTATAGTAAGACGTTCTCTTACTCTAAAAGATTTTTTCTTTCTTTTACACTGTCCATAATAATGTCCTAGGAGCCTTATCTTGTATAAGTGTTTTTTCCCCTTGCATGTTCCAATGTTGTCTGTCGTATCTACATGTACATTTCCTACAATTTTTCTTTACTCACTTACCACACATTACATTATTACTTGTACCTGATTCAATTCATCTACCCGTATTGTTTTGTAACCGAATCTGACTCTTCAGCTTTTATGCATCTTAATTGCTTCAAACAACGTTTAAATACTAAACTTGAAATAGATATCGGATATAAATTACACTCTCACATCCACACCCCACACACACGAACATTATCACTGGATATACTATAAATCATAATTTTCAAGTGACGGAACATACGTGTGATGGTGAATAAGCCTATGCCAGAAAGTGTCTATATTTGGAATTACACCCTACACCAAACCAAGCGCTAAGGACACCACACGCACATACACCCACATATATACACAATTCATCAATATACTATAGAATAGAGATCCTAATTTTCAAATGATGGGAAAATAACTGTGATGGCGTATAAACTTCTGACTAGAAGTGTCTATAATTCGAATTTCACACCTCTACACAATACCGAGCGCAGAGGACACCATTTTGGGAATTCTGAAAAATGCGGCTACGTGGTTGGATTACAGTTTGGATTAAAGGGAAACTTAGAGTTCTTTATTAACAAGTTGAATAACTTTTAAGACTCTTTTAAAGAAGTTCACAACTTTAAAAAAAAAAAAAAATGTAAAATGGATTTGTGATAACATGGTCTTGTTTGGAAAACATATTATTTATATGTTTTGTTAATTCTGATTCTTATAATATCGATATATCGATTGTCTTTATTTTCCTTTCAACAAACTTAATAACCATTTCAGAAATATATGTAGTTGTGTTTTTAGTTTGAATTCATCAATTGTATAGGCTTAAGCGACAGAACTTTCCCCAACCAAATGTATCATAAATCAGTCAAAGTTACTTCAGTTTTTTTTTTTTAACAGATTTCTTACATGTTATATTTGTTAAATATCAGAAATATATTTTTACTTCAGTCTATCAACATACTTCAAGTCTTTTGTGGATTGCACTTGGGAGTAATTTTGAATGCTTTGAAAATCGTCTA